TTTAAAGCATCTCACACTTGGGTATCAAGATTCAAAAAATCCCACCGAATTGTTTCGAGAAAAATAACGAAATTTGTAAATAGAAGAACAATAGAAGATTCCATTAAGTTGCAAAATACAGCTAATGATTATCTGAAAACAGTGAAACCACTTATCGAACAGTTCGGATCTGAAAATGTTTTTAATTCTGATCAAAGTGGTTTCCAATTGGAAATTTATTCTATTTGGAAGGTCATTGTCTAATGAAGGAGTAAAGAAAGTAGTGTGTTGTGCAATCTATATCATCAACAACACACTCATACACCATACAACCAATAATATCGTGTAATGGAAATTTGCTGTCACCTTTATTTATTGTATTGAAAGAAACTAATGGTATATTTGGACCAAGAGTACAAGAAACCTTACTTACACCAATAAGTATTATTGTAAAAGCATCGAAATCTGGTAAAATGACAGATAATTAAATAAATTTCCTCTTACAATACATTTTCAGATACTGTTTTACTATTTAAAAATAAATATAAATTTGCATAAAGGAAATAATATAATAAAATTTTAAGTCTTATTTCTGTAATACAGTTTATATTTTATTTAAGAATCTCTCATAACTGTCATAAAATAGTTATTCATTTAACATTTATATTTCTGACAGACCATTTTAAAATGTGGTTAGAAGAAGCTTGTTTTCCAAATATTGATTCTAATAGCGTTCTTATTATCGATTAATGGACTGGACATTGTCCCAATATTATTTCAGATTTAACACCTGCAGAAAAACATATTACTATCATGATTATACCGAAAGGCACAACAGGGAAAATACAACTATTAGATGTTTACGGATTTAGAATTTGGAAAAATTTTGCTAAAAGATTTTCAGATATTGTTTTATTATTGGAAAGTAATATAAATTTACATGAACACGAAATAATATAATAAAATTACAATCTCTGATACATAATCAATTGTCATCCACGAAGGTTGCAGTAATATAGCTGTAGTAAAATGTTCATGGTGCAAGAAGTCATTACGTTTAAAACATTTTTTCATCGAGTATCATTATTGTAATGAGTACAATGAGTAACGAAACAAAATATAAATTTATTGTGTATAAACATTTAGAAATTGTTTTATTATTAAGTTAATATATACGTTTTAAAATTATTACGTAAACTTGAAGTAAATAAGATATTAAAGTGGAAAACTAAAAATAACTTTAAGAGATATATAATCTTAAGATATTATAAGGAAGTAATGTACAGAGATGAATAAAAAAGTTTTACTCACATTAAGGAGAAATAATTATTATAACTCTTAACATTATTTATAATTTATAATGTTACAAATATCAATCATGTCAATTTCCTTATTTGCTGATTTATGTATTTTATTGTTCCGATGACAATTACTTTCGCATATGAGCATGGAAAGCGTATATACGGAAGCGTTAATAATTAATTCTCGAGAATGATATATCGTATTGTAACTTTATTACACATGGTTGAATTTAAAAAAAAATCTTTAATTTGTTAAATAAAAAAATAAAAAATTAAAGAAAATTACGGGTAGTGGGGATATTTTGTTAAACAAAAAAATTAAAAAAAATTTTTTTCTTTGTAACTTTAAACTACTCTTGAAATCGTACAACTTTTATTAAAAAAATTTTTTTCTATCTTTTATACTTCCGACGATATTCGCTTCGAAAGAAAAATTCCGTTTTTTTTTCAAAGGGGTGTTTCACCCCTTAAACATGAGTTAGCGCACGTATAAAAAAATACGTGTCTCTTAGATTTTCATGTTTTACAATATATTTCATGGAGAATCAAATCGGTTCCGGACAGTTGTGAAACTTCCCTTGTGAGTCCGAATGGCATTCTTAAAAATTTTAAATGTCCGTTAGGGACAACAAAAGCCGTGTACTTACGATTACATTCTTCGACTGCTACCTGGAAAAACTTATTTTTTAAATCTAACGTACTGTATATTTTTATGCTTTGGAGATCTAATTGATCTTCCATCAACGGTAAGGGGGATATCAGCTTTTAATTATCTTTTCGTTCAACTTACGGTAACCTACGTAGATTCTCGTCGCGCCGTTTTTTTTTTCTTTATTAATACTATCGGACTTGCATAGTCAGAGTACGAGGGTTGCATTATGCCCTCGTCAAGTCATACTCGAATCTGTAACTCCACTTCTATTTTCTCTGTCGTGGACAATCCACGTGAATTTTTCGAAACTGGAATATCATCTTTTACAACTATCGCCATCTGATATTGCGACATTTACATCTCTCTGTTTTTGAGATTTATACTCTTTTACTAAACCTTCCATTTCGCTTTTAACACGTTCGTCTTTAATGTGCGATACATCTACGATTCTATCCGCGTCTTGTAATATATCGATTTTATAAACTTCCGATACTGCATTGTGGTCATCCGCAATCTTCGCAATATTTACGACACCTCTTCTTGTATGTACTTCGACTTAATTTAAAAAATCTGATCCAATGAGTATAGCATGTGGAATTATTCCGTCGCGAACAAAGTTTACGATATAATGGTATCGTAAACTTCCATATCCATACAGATTCTTAAATATACTTTTCCTAACGTCGTGTTTTCTTCCGAGCCCGCTCCTCAAAATTTTATCGTGCGGTTTCCGCGCATCGGCGACCCGACCTGCTTATACTGCTCTTCGCACATTAAACTAAGATCACTACCTGAATCAATTATTGCGCTTAATTTCACACCGTTAATAACATCTTTGCGGCATTTACCGAAATCGGATTATAAGAGACTACAACTTTTCTTTTTCTCCGCACTCACCTTCTCAGGACACTTCGCCGCTATGTGCCCATATTTATTGCACCCGAAACATTTCTCACCTTGCTCTTTCGAAGAGCACGCCGCGCTTAAGTGACTATTATCGCCGCAATTGTAGCACCGCTTCGAATCTTTATTGTCTCGTTTCGCGTCTTTATTTTCCGCGCTCGACTTCTTTCTGTTATCACCCGCTTTAAACTTCGTTTTACTGCACATCTCTATAACATATACGTCTAGTTTATCTTTTAACTCGCGAATCGTTTTAACGCCGTACAAGATTGACTTGCGATAATCTTCGTCATCAATGCCGTCGATAATGTATTGTATAACCACTTTTGTCTCTACGTCTGCACGTGCCGCTATTTCTATCATTTTGTAACAGTATTCGTAGTAGGATTCGTCGGTCCTCTTCTTCCTTCGCTGCAACTCCTTGGGTATCGCTCGGCTGTCCACCTTCAGTGCGAATTCCGCCTTCAACGCAGTCTGAATGACGTCCCATGTCCCGCCACCAGCTTTTATAAATAGACGAGCTGAGCCCCGTAACAATCTTTTCGCATAAATGGTCTTCTGCACCGTGTTCCACTCGCACAGCTTCGTGAGATCTTCAAATTTCTTTATTCACAGCTTCACATTTTTGCCGTCATCTCTGCTAAAAGTGTCGATTGACTCCTCTACGTCTTTGAAAGTCGGCACGAATTTCAGCCGGCTACATCTTTCGTCTTCTCCGCCGTCATTAGTACCGGCGTCCTCCCATTTGTCTCCGTCCGTCTCGTTGCCGGAATCATCGTCGTCGTTTTCGTCTTCATGTTGGTCCAGCACTAGAGCCACCTTCAAACGTACCACGAGATCCACCTTGTTGCCTGTCACTTTCAGCTTGCGCTCTCTGAGCTTTTCTTTGATCTGAGCCACCGTCATTGAGTCGACTTGCATCACGTCATCTGTGTCGCTACCTTGTCCTTCGTGATCTGACATGTTTTCCCTCTCAATATTTCTCTGCCTCGATCCCGGCTGCGAGCCCTCACTTATAGGATATGGTTTTGATTTGTCTAGGGGTTTAATTACACGAGGCGTGGTGTTGAGAATAAAGAGAGGCGTTTATTACACACAGCAAGAATTAACTGTTAACAAAGATTTCATACACGCAGTAACGACACGCTCGCTTGCTCGTTTTCAACTGCCGCGCTTCCCTTCTCCCTGCTCTTCCTTCGCCGGGCTCTGAACCCATCCCCGAATATCATTTCGCGCACGCATCGCGATCTCCCTACGTCTAATCGCGTTCGAGTAGTATTACACGAAAACTAAGCCTAGATCTACACAAACAAATAATGAACAAAAGTTACGCTCTCTTCTTTATTCCAACTTATCCTACATTAATATGAATTAAATTATTGTGAATTAAACATGAAAATCTAAGAGACAAGTATTTTTTTATGTGCCCTAACTCATGTTTAAGGGGTGAAACACCTCTTTGAAAAAAACCAGTTTTTTTTCGTTCGAGGCGAATATCGTCGGAAGTATAAAAGATAGAAAAAAAAATTTTAAACAGAAGTTGTACGATTTTAAGAGTACTTTAAAGTTATAAAGAAAAAAAATTTTTGTTTATTTTTTTTAACAAAATAACCCTACTACCCATAATTTTCTAAAATTTTTAAATTTTTTTTTACCAAATTAAATATTATTTTTTTATGAATTCAACCATATGTAATAAAGTTACGTTAAGACACATCATTTTTGAAAATTAATTATTAACGTTTTCGTATATACGCTATCCACGCTCATGCGGTAATTGTCGTCGGAACAATAAAATACATAAATCATCGAATAAGGAAATTGACGTGATTGAAATTTGTAACATCACAAATTATAAATAATATTAAGATTGTATTATATTATAATATTATTATAATAATTATTATAATAATATTATAATTTTTATTATTCCTCCTTAAAGTGAGTAAAACTTTTTTATTCATCTCCGTACATTACACTTCCTTATAATATTTTAAGATTATTCTCTTAAAGTTATTTTCAGTTTTACGCTTTAATATTTTATTTATTTTTACTCATTACTTTTTACAATACATTTTCAGATACTGTTTTACTATTAAAAAGTAAACGATTTTGATGTGGTTGGTTTGATGGAAACGTGGGTGGATGAAAGCGGGTGGGAGAAGATGAAAGATAAAATGCCGGTAGGATGGCGTTGGAAGTGCCAGGCAGCCAGGAGAGAGGGAAGAAAGGGAAGAGCGAAAGGGGGAATTGTGACTGGAGTGAGAAGGGAGCTGGAGGAAAGAGAGATTGGGTATGAGGAGAAGGATGGTATACAAAAAAGGGAAGTGGTTATAGATAGAGAGAGGCGGAGATTTGTAACAGTATATAATAGGGAAGGGCGAAAAGAATGTCTGGTTGATCTAAATGAGGTGATTAAAGAAGAGGAAGAGGGAATGTTAATGATAGCGGGGGATTTTAATGCTAGAATAGGGAAAGAAGGAGGGTGGAATAGACAAAGTATAGAGGGAGACGGAACAAAGGAGGAAGCTAGCAGAGAGTCCAAAGATAAAGTAGTAAATAAGCAAGGAAGGGATTTGATGGAGGTGATAGAAGAAAGAGGATGGATGGTTATGAATGGAGAAAAGGAAGGGGATGAGAAGGGGGAGTGGACCTATGAGAAGGGAGGAGGGAGGTCAGTAATTGATTTTGGTATAGTGAACTGGGAAGCATGGGAGAGAGTAAGGAGATTTGAGGTAGGGTGTAGGGGGGAGTCGGACCATCAGCCAATTCTGATAGAGTTAGGGACATATTATGAAAGGGAAGAAGAGAAGGTAGGGGAAGAATTAAGATTTCAGGACTGGACAGAGGAAGGGACGAAAAAGTACAGGAAGGCAATAGAAAAGGTAGAATGGATAGGGGGAGGGGTGAGAGAGAGATGGGAGGAGTTGGAAAGAGAAATTAATAAAGCGGTAGAGTTTAAAAAAGGGGGGGAAGAGAAAAGGGATAGGATGGTGCCCGTGGTGGGATGTGGAGTGCAGAGAAAAAAAGAGAGAGATGAATAGAACGCGAAGACGGTACAGAAGAGAACAGGAAGAAGGAAGGTATGAAGAATTCATACGGCGCAAAAAGGAGTATAGAAAGCTATGTGAAGAGAAAGAGAGGGAACAGAAGAGACGGGAGGAAAAGGAGGTACAAAATATAAAGACAGAAGCAGAGGCTTGGAAATTTATAAACAGAGGGAGAAAGAAAAGGGAGGGAGTATGTAAAGAAATTGAAATGGAGGTCTGGGTCAAGTACTTCACTGAAAGCTTAGGAGGAATTGAGGAAAGAAAAGGGGAGGGAAAGAAAATACGGGAAGCGGACAGGATGGGAGATGAGGGAATAGGGATAGAAGAGGTAAAAAATGAAATAAAAAGGTTAAAAAGAGGGAAAGCAGCAGAACTGGATGGAATAAAGAATGAAGCATGGAAGGAAGGAGGGGAAATAATTGGGAAGAGTTTGGAGAAGATATTAAAGGGGGTATGGAAAGGGGAAGGGTTCCCAGAGAGCTGGAGAGTAGGAGTGGTTGTACCGATATGGAAGAGAGGAGAGAGAAGGGAGCCCGGAAATTATAGAGAGGTAACGATGACGAGTACGGCGTATAAGATATATGCGAATATTTTAAGAGGTTATACTCAGTTGGGATGTGGAAAATAAGATGATTTTCACGATTTTTTTTAGTAGTATAGACAAACATTTATTGAAATGTGCTTCATGGCATCTAATAGTATATACATTGAAGTACTTATAATAATTTTTTTTAGTCTAAATGTATAAAAATAAAGAAAATATAGCCG